AAAGAAATTTTTCCTTACTTAGTCATTATGAGCCAGGAATTTATAAGGTTGTCGCCACCTATGGTGAGTAGTCCTCTGTTTTAGATATGATAGAAATGGGTGATATAATTTATATGCTCGGATGTACGATCCTTAGGGATTGTTTTGGGAGAATTCTCGGTTTGTCTTCGATGACTTATATAAGGAATATCTTAGAATGATTCTAGAATGATTCTAGATGCAAAATTACAAACCCATTGACTTACCTATCGGTAAAAGTCAGAGCCTTAGCTATTGAGTGAATCCTTGGATTGTCTTTGGGAGAAACAGATGACCTATATTCCTTAATCTTTTCTTGTTGTGGGAGTCTAAAGTACGCTATGTGGGCGTATTCGGCATAATAAGTGTTATCCTTGGTAAATGATCAACTGAGTTGTTTAGACATTGACCTTGCTCATTAGACTGCGGATAGAATGCTTTACTAGTAGTATATCAATTTGTTCCTTGTAAGATTCAATGCGCTAGTTGGGCACATCTTGAATGAAAGCAGATTGGTCACCAAAATATCTTTATAGAGGTAATTGCATGAGAAGTAGTAATCTTGAACCACTTCATATGAGGCGTAAATGGTGGATTCCGTTGTATATGCTTATCGTAAGAAGTGCTAATAAGGCTTATGCTTGGAATCTAGAATTGCGCAGACTGTGGTCGTAAAATCGATCACTTATTTGTTACGAGATGATAGGATGATGACACTATTATGGTTTGTGTCAAACTGATTAGCAAATGATGATGTCAGCAAGCAAGATTGGCTCACTCACACGAGCAATCGCCCTTGGCGCTTGGGAGCGAGCAAGGATGAGACTAGTGGTTTTATTTTTATTGGGAGCCAAGAGGGGCTTAAAAAATCCACTATGTATGTCGCCTTGGTTACAACTAAAATGAGGTCATGTTAAGGACCAAATATGGATATTAGTACCCACTTTCCATGTTGTGTCTGTTATGATTAGCCAGATGCGAGATCTCATTTGGTGCCTGAAAGGCGAGCAAATAGAGAATTCGGGTTAGGCGCTAGAAAGCGACTAGACTAAGATCTGTACGATGTATCGAGTATGACGGCACTCTTTTGGAAGAGTTACTCCACCGTAACATATATTCATACTATATGTGCTTAGCGATCGAGTAATGAGGTGAGAGAATGGATCCATGTTTATTTATCGTGTGAGTCTTACGTGTCATTATTGATATGACTTTCATTTAGGTACCCTTTTGTGACTTTTGACTATGTCATAAGGTAAGGGGTTGATGTTCTGCTACTTTGGTATGTTGCCTGCGGTCATGTATGATTCGGTCTTAAGGGACATCACTGGGAAAGCGGTCAATCCTAAACTAAATGGCATGAGGGCAAAGGGAAGATCATCTAGTATTACACCACTATTGTATATTCACTACCGGCAACTCACATCGCTCTGTATGAGACGCAAATTGAATGTGAATATATTGCAAGAATTGAGAGGGTCGAACATGCTTTTTTTTAGGGGATTAGAGATGTTTTTTGGACCGATGTAATTAGATAGGTCTAGGGTATATGAGACACTATTTTTATTCTTTTTGGGTTGATGTCTTTATGCTGGCTTATTTTGAGTTTCTAGTATAGAGCTTCCATATACAGGTGTTCTCAACAGTCGTACGGTGCATTGGCTAGTATAAGATTGTTAATTTTTTTGGAGATTGAGATAGAGATGTGATAGTGTCATGCCAACTCATGTGCAAGTGGGAGATGTTAGAAATTGGGCGCCCATGTGGCATGACCCTTTGAACCTTTTGAACCTGAACCTTTTGAACCTTATCCATATAAGTTTGAATTTGAATTCAAAACTTATTTGGATAATTATTCAGGATATCTATATCTATCATATCAATAGATATGTATAGATGGATAGATAGATATTGATTGATGCATATTTAATAATATGCATCTGATATGATGTGAGATACGTATATTAGATACGTTATGTGATTTTTACCCATAACCTTTTTTCCCAGACTGTCTCTGTAACTCTCTCCCATATGAGAACGATCCGGTTTCTGCAATGTGACTTGTGTGGGTGATACTCATATTGTAGTATCACTCCACTGCTGGGTTTGTTGTTCGCATTTTGAAAGCACGTGATTTACCCACGAAATTCTTCGCTATAGGTATGATTATGATATTTTATCCGCTGCATTATAATACTTTGATTTACACAAGTGAACAGAGTCGTTCGTGAATAGTCACAAGTTTGGCTCGATAAGAATTCATTCAAACTTGGTTTGTTAATTTTTTTTTGCATTCGAGCTCGAGTTTGAGCTCTTTAAATTTTTAATAAATAAGCTCAAGCATTCTAAAGCTTAGCTCATTAGCTGACTTGTTTAATATTTATTATTTATATATTAAATAATGTAAAATATATATATATATATATATAAATAAGATAAATATGTTATTTATATATTTTAAAATATAAATATAAATAATAGTTAACTATAGATAGTATATTTATATAATGATGATATAACCTATTTATTTTGAAAATATATATTTTTTAGGAATTGTTTATATATATGTTATATATAATTTTGTAATAAAATTTTTAATTATAATTTTATTTTTACGTCAATGATGAATTATAAATTTATGTACGGCTCGTTAAAAACTCGTGAATAGGTTCGAATTGCAGTCAAACTTAACCCAATTCAGCTCAAACTCTGATTTATATATTTGTATTGCTAACTTAAATTTATTAAAATCTTAATAAATAAATCTAAATATAACTAATAATTCAGCATCAACCCATTAGTTTGTAATCCGTAACAACTACTCATTCAGAGGTGTCCCCCTCGTATCCCTTTAGTTGCACATTGAGAGTCCCTAAAAAAATCCTGAACGAAAAGAGTTAAAAGAAGCAACTCGAACCCTCCTTTTTTTTTGTTGTTTTTTTTTTTTTTTTTTTTTTTTTTTTTTTTTTTTTTTTTTAACGAGAACTAAATACTAGGGACAGGACCTTGACAGGCCGGCTTGAGTTATTTAGAGATTTTAGAGGAATTTTATTAAATTTGGTTCTTCATGTATTATTATCTTAAAAAAAATTATTTAAATAAAACAAAAAGGATAAAAATTTATTTCTATTGCATTACAATTTAACAAAATTTAGATAACATATATATATATATAATAGTTGAACTTCAATTAGTTGAATCGAATATTTATTTTTTAGCTTACTAATGCTATAAGACTAAAATTAATTGGGGGTAAGGATGAGAATTTTTAACACAACTCAAGTAATATATAAAATTAGTAAGTTAGGATTGACTATTTTTTAACATGAATCTAAGTATGACACAACTCAATAATATGACTTATTAATTATATATTTTAATGTTCACTAAGGGATGCCATGACATTTTTTTAATCTTTTATTTAACTGAATAAAAAGTATGTAAAATAATAATTGAGGCTAATATCTTTTTTTCATTTAAGATATGTATTTTTTTGTTACCTATTTTAGAATCAATCTAATAAAAAATATATAGTAATAAGGTACAATTTTTTTAATTAGAAAAATTCAATTGAATTAAAATTAAACATTCTATGAATAATTTCATTTAGTAGAAATAAATTTTATAATATTCAACTTATGGGAAAAATTCTAATCTCTTCATACACTTGCTAATTATTTTTAACTAAAAATAAAAATTTTCACATTAAATATCAATCGGACATGAATCAAAATAATACCATACAACAACATGAAAATAAATAAATTAAACTAATATTAAAATAATTATGAAATAACACAACAAGATACACTCTCCTAATTGAGGGCCATAAATTTTGTTCAAAATTAGAGGCCCGAGGTGACGGCCTTAGTGGCCTCACCTCAGGGCCGGCCCTGCCTTTGGATTGGATTGGACTGTCTGCGTGTTAGACAATTTTCAATTTTCTCTGAATTTGGACTCGGATTGTTAGTTTTAGAATATATTGTTCTCGAATTATTTGGTTGAATTAGATTTATATCTTATATTTATTTAGTCATGGAATTAGATGTCTGAATTGGATTATTTTATTGATTCCTATGCTTGTTTGGGATATTATGAAGAAAGATAAATACTCAAATGACTATTTTATCATTTTCAATTATCTACTAAGTAATAGCAATATTAAACATATCTTTAATATTTTAATTATTTTTAGCTAAATTAAATAAAAATTTATTTTATTTTTTGCACAATTAAATAAAATTTTAATAAATTAAATATTAATAAAAATATATGTTATTTTTTAATTAAAATTTTAAATAAATTTGTTTTAAAAAATAATAATAATTAAATAATGAAATTAAATAAAAAATTTAAATAATGAAATTAAATAAAATATAACCAAAATTTTATAATAAAGCATTAATAAAATATCTACAAAAAATTATTTTTAAAAATTAAATAAATAAAAATCAGTAAAAATTAAATAAAATTATTTTATTTTTAAATTGAGACATTTAAATTTTATTAAATTTTACTAAATAAAATACATAATTAAATAGTAGAGGGTCAAAATGATAATTTCACCACCTAATCTCATATTCCCCCTTATCTCCCCATTTGCGTCCCACCCCCCATGGGACACAATAGTTCAACATATTTAAGATTAACAGTTTGGAGTAACAATTTTGAACCAAATAATGGACTATTAGTCTGAAGAGACTATTAATCCAATCTCACATCTTAATCCCTCAAAACAAACACCACCTAAAATTATGTGGCACATTAGTATTATTAACAAACAAAAAGTGCAAAATTAACAAAAATTTAGACCAAAAAACCAAATTGAGACAACTCGGGAACAAATTATTTAATTTGAAATTATATGGACTGAAATAAAATTTGAATTAAATTATAAGACTGAAAAGTATAATTAACTATTTTTTTAACTTGTTTAAGTTATTTTTATCCCGTAACCAGTAAACAGAAACCACACTAAACTCTTGACAAAAACTACCCAATTTTTTTTTTTATTATTATCATTGTTTTTTAAAGTTATAGGCAACACCAAACATAGCTTAAGTATTCACAATTTGATTTCCCTAATCATGAACCAAAAACTCCATATTAGCAAATTCAGTTTTGAGTGCCATATGGAAACAAAGTTCAACATGTTTTTTTACACAACACTCCATCTTGAGCTTTCCATTGGTACTTCTAATTTCTGAATCTGAATGAATTATGGAAAAACTAGTTTTCACAACACTTATGGGATAATTTGACTACTGATTTGAAGAACCCAAAGCTACCTCCTTGTGTCGATTGAGATCGCTCAGATACTTGGTTGAATTGTACTCTTCTGCATCCAAGAGCTCTTCGGAGAATGTTCGTTGGAGGGACCGATTTTGACTTTCTTTTGAAGAATCCACTATGTAACTTTCACCTTTTAGAAGTATTAAAACCTGCAGCAAGCAAATGAAACACATATCAAAGTTCCACTCAAGCTTTTGCTTCAACAAACTTACAAGAGTCGATACATTAGCTAATAAAGGAAGTTTTACGCATCTATATGAATGAAATGAATCGAATGAAGTTTCGCAGAGCTATACAATTGAATGGATGCCTACATGAGGTCATTGTGGAGAGGGGAATGCGGGCGGAGTCAAAACATTCAACAACACCCTTCCCTTTTAAAGAAAACATGAGAAAAGAAAAGAAATGAATGAACAAAAATAGCAAGCTCAAGTGTTAGCATATGAAGAAAATTGTGATTATAAGGCAAAAAATAAACAATAAACAGAATGCTATCCAAATGATGTTTAAGTGCATCAATATTGATGCTGTATATCAACAAAGAATTTTCCATATTAATGATTTAAATCCTGTTCCAGTTTCTTTCTCAGTTCATTTGGTTTCCATTTAGGGCATGCCTGGAGAAGGAAACGGTGGGTTATTTACTTTCTTTTCTGGTGAGAGAACCAGAGGAAAGATAAATTCAGATTTTCCAAACAGATTCATATTTTGATTCCCGCTTCCCATTTATAACAGAGAAAAATAGTAATTGTTTCAGCTGAAAGGAAAATAAACAGAACGACCATTTTATGAATAAGAAGCAAAGAAACTTTTGAAATGAGTGGTTAAAGTGGTTGCATATCATTTTCTTGAAATTACAATTCTTTAATTCCCATCTAAAAGCACAACAAGGTATATCAAAAGTAAAAAATGTCATATTCTCAGGAAGGCAGAAAATGATTATTACTGAAATACCAAGTGAAAGAAAAAAGGAAGCATCCAGTGCACAAGCGCTACTCTTATAGGACGGTCTAGGAGAGGCAGTAGGTATTGTTGTCAAATCGTGAATTGAATCATGAATCACTTGGCATAATATATAGTTATATATAACCTCATCCACTAATTTTTTTTCCCTATATTTTTTTTGGGTAAAGAGACTATTCCCTGTGACTCAAACCCGTGCACTATGCTGGAAGTGATAGAGCTTGACATTGCGCCAAGTCATGACGTCTTTGAATCTGACTGAATTTTGAAATCAAAATGTAAAGAAAACATACATCCTTCTAAACGACTACTTGCCTGACTCATTCGAGGACGTAGAATTGGAGTTTGCTCTATGCATAAAGAGGCAGTCAAGATGACACGATCCATCTCATCTGGGTCATAATGATCACCAAGAGAAGGATCAACAAGTTCCTCAACACTATTGTTATCAAGCAATGGCTTTGCCTACAAGTAAATTCAAATGATTAGCTAAAAGACTTCAATTTGAGAAGACTGCTGATGGTATGATTGGATTTTTTTTCAGAAGTAAACCTACCCAAAGCACAATGCTTATCTTTGAATCATCCAAAGCTTCACGTCCTGTAATGAGCTCTAAAAGTAGCACACCATAAGAAAACACATCAGTTTTCTCATCCACTATGCCGTGCATGAAGTACTCTGGAGCAAAATAGCTGTCATCGAAAACATAAATGGAAAATTTTAAACATAATCCCTTCATTAGCTTTGAAGTGAAATGGTTTTGGATAACATACCCAAACGTGCCTTCAAATTTTGGTACATAGTGGTGAGTCCAATCTTTTGGCAGCCATTTTGCAAGCCCAAAGTCACAAATCTGGATTGAAGTTGGCTAAATTAGCCATTGAACAATAAATCCATCGAAAAGAGGTCTTCAAACTTGGCAAGTTTGTGATCATAGGATAAGTAGAGTTATAATCTTGTAAAAAAGGAATTTCCATAAATTTATTGATGACTCCTTCCAATTCTCCATTTAGAGAAACAAAACAATTACTAGATAAAACTCAAACCCTAAGACCTCTCACTTTACCTAACATTCTATTATTTTGAATATTCATAAAATTAACATTCCTTATCTTATTGACGATGTTAAATGTATTAAAAGTTCATAATGTTCATTCCTCATGTTATTGACTTTGAATAGTCTACTTTTTATCCCATATTTTAACTTTTAAAAACATTCTAAACTTTTAAATTGCTCGGGCATTCAAGTCCATTTTTTATGTTCATTTCTTGTTGTGGTATATGAAATGATATGACGATCCATTCTCTCTCCCTCTCTCTCTCCAAGGAATCAAAAGTTGCACAAAAAATTGTAGTTTTCACTTTCACATTTGACCATCCTCAGGTTTGGAAGTTTAAAGATACCTGAGGTTCAAAATCATCTGTAAGCAGAATATTATCAGCCTTGATATCTCTGTGAATAATTCGCCTTTGGCAATTCTCATGAAGATAAAGTAGGCCAGCAGCAGTCCCTAGAATAATCTTATGCCTAACAGCCCAATTTAGCTTTTCCTTAGGACCTGGAAAAACAGAAATAAATGGCAAGCCCATAAATCAAAAGCAACTGATATTGGAGAAAAAAAAATGAGAAAAGTTATGAACAAACCACGAAGAAGTGATCCTAAACTCCCCAGAGGAGATAACTCAAGAACAAGAAATCTTCCGCCTTCAACTCCAAACCCAATCAACTTTGCAGTATTAGGATGATTTACATGGGCTATAGTACCGATCTCAGATAAAAAGCTTGTTATTTGCTCTTCGAGAGTCCCTTTGTTCAGCCGCTTAACTGCCACAAGCTGCCCGTCTGCCAAACAGCCCTTGTAGACTTCAGCATAACCACCTTTTCCTATCAAATTTTCTACAAGAAGAAACAACATTAAGTTCACATCACTAACCAATGTTGCAGTCTATCTCCATTCATATTTGCCACTGCAACATGAAAATAAAATAAAAATAACACTCCGTTTGTCTGGGATGTTTTTCACATTTTCTGCCATTTGGTGCAACGGAAAATGAAATCAATGGCAAACAAGCCTATTTAGGTGGAAAATGTTTTCCACTTTTAAAAGATAAAAAACATTTTCTGGACTAAAATCTTACCAATGCTACCACACTACATCATGCCACCATTGTCACTGCCGCCATTGCCACCACCACACCACCACTGCCACCATTACCCCACCACCTCCACCTCCACCCCACCATCAATAATACAACTATTAGTCATTAGTTTCAAGAACGCAACCAATAGGAAAACGTTTTTTTGGAAAAAGTTATTTATAGAAAGTGTTTTCCGACCAAGCAAACGGAGCATAAAAAAAGAATGAAAAAACAATAGTAGTGGTAAGCTTGCAATTAAACCTCTACCACATTTGCTCATACTTTTTCGTATTGTGGTTTCAAATATCCGGAACAAACTTACAGACCTTGGCTAAAATTGTTTGTTGCAGTTCGGAGGTCAGGGTAGGTGAAGTTCTTCCAGGAAGACTGGAAATAATAGTGATTTGCATCTACATTTTCTCTCACACTTCTGCTCTTTCCTCTTGATATCTTTGGTACAGCAAGAGAAGGAAAAGAGGATAACTGCTTTATTGAGCTTGTTTTCCAGAGTCTGAAGAATCTATGCCAGCGAGGATGTGCCTTTGAATTCGAAGAAGAGACTTCAGATTCCGATATATTGGTTTTCGAAGAACCTGCTTCTGGTTCAACGCCTCTTATGCATGCTTCTAAAACTCCCCTAGGAGAGGAACAGTCTTCTTTCTCCTTTTTCATCTCAAAGCATCTCAAGTCTAAAATGGAAAATCAGTGAATGGTGAGAGTGGAACCAAAAGATACTAATACCCATGTAAGTGAACGCATAAACACACCTGACCTATAGAGAATTACAATGGGAAAAGAGGGGTTAATTACAGCAACCCCTCCTGACATATAGAGAATTATAATGGGAAAAGTGGGGTTAATTACACCAAGACCCCTCTACTATTAGTGAATATCAACTTACCCCTCATCCATGAACATGTATATTTTAAACCCTTCAACTATAAAATGTATCACTTTCACCCATCCATTAGCGAATATCATTTATACATTTTTTATAGTTGAAGGGATCAATATTTATGGGTTCATATATGAATGGGGCGAGGTAATATTCACTAATAGTTGAGGGGGTCTTGCTGTAATTAACCCAAGAGAGAGAGAGAGACAGAGAGAGAGAGAGAGAACATATTACCTTGTGCAGAAGAGGAAGAAAATTTACCACCTCGAAATCTGTGTCCTAATAGACCAGCCTTGCCTTTTGAGGTTTGCTGCTGTAAGTTACTGGAATACACATCATTTTTCCTGTACAAGCAATTCTGATGCTGATAAGAATGCATAATCAGCCAGATCCAGAAGCAAAATAATGAAAGAGCACATATAGTGGAATGTGTGAGTTTGTGTTAAGATAGACAGACATTAAACTAGGTATCTGAGAATTTAATTTTTTATCCAACCTTAATCTAGAACTAGAACAAACTGTCAATCATGAAGCGACAAATGTCGCATTTGATATTTTATTCCTTAATAAATTACAATGTTTCTTGTTGTCATTCAACGACTTTTTTAAGGTTTTTTATAAATACATTTATCGTCGGCATTTAACAACTTAACAGTTATTTTGTCGTGATATGTTGTCGATATATGCTCAATTATAAAATCATTAGTAGCTCTAATAAAGATTTGGTTTTCAACCTTTCTAAGCATGCAACACATTTATTCTAATAAAGATTTTGGTTTTCAATCTTTCTAAGCATGCAATATATTTATTGTTGTCATGAAAAAAACTATTCAATATACTTACAAAAAACAAAACATCAAATCCCTAAACCCTCCCTGTTGCAAAAAGATACATATGAGATGAGACATCGAGAAATATATATATCAGAAAAAAAGAGTCAAAGATGCAACGAAATCGCGCCCGTGCGCGCGCACACACACACACAAAATATATATATATATATATATAAAGAAAAACTCCAGAATCTGCTCTGCGACTGCATAGTTTAAAATCATAAAGCTACAACATAAAACCTCTAAAATTTAATCTATTTTTCTATGAGCAAAAGCCATAAATAATAAAACCAAACAAACTTAAAATTCACTAAAGATTCAACAGATTTAAAAATAATAAATAATAATATGAACAAAAGATAACATATAGAGACAGTATGTAGAAATCTCTGAAATCTTCTGCCTCGGATCCTAGATTTTTATTTTTAATTTTTAAGGAAATACCTTCAAATACACGAGTCGAATTTCAATAAGCATCAGTCAGACAATTAGATATGCACAAAAAGCTTAAATACCATATAACACATAATGCTGAAATTGTGGAAATTGTCTCACTTTCTGCAAAATATATAAAATCAGCTCAGCTAAAATTAAAACAGAAAAGCAAAAGGCATAACAAAAGCATATACAAACTTAAAAAGAAAGAAGAAAAAAAAAAGATTCCAAATTCTCCTTATTCCTAGTTTGGAAGAAAATAAATAAATAAACAAGGGTACAATTTCAAGAAAACCCATTTTCCGAAACGCAGTAAATATTTGTATAAGAATTGTCAAATCTCTAGCTTTCATACAAAAACCCGAAAGTCCATAAGCTACAACTAAAAAAAATTATTAAAAAAAAAAAGAGCTGTAGCTACATAACAATAGAAATCACCAAAACACAAACTATGAACTTCAAATAACACCATGAGATGGTCAAGGTACACAAAATGGGTAGCTAAAAATCCACTGATTCATCATAAATTATACAAAGCAGGCAAGACCCAACGTAAAAAACGAAAAGAGCATTCAAATAAGTTCGGACCAAAATATGAACTATTAACCTGACATAACGCCAGAAGACTGCTATGCATACACAAATTCACAGAATGGGTATCTTAAAAATCCCCTGATTCATCATAAAATGTAGAAATCAAATGAAACCCATAAGCAAAAAAGCTAAGAGCATTAAAAGAAATCCGACCACAAGACGTGGATACACAAAAAGCACAAAATTGGAATCCAAAAATCCCTTGATTCAGCGAAAAATGTAGAAATCAAACAAAACCCATAAGCAAAAAAGCCAAGAAAAGCATTCAAAGAAATCGAACCAAACATGAGCTATGAACTTGAATAACGCCACAAGACGGCCAACCATATGCAATAATCACAACTTTGGTATCTAAAAATCCCCTGATACAGCACAAAATGCAGAAATCAAACAAAACCCACAAGCAAAAAATCGAAGAAAAGCATGGAAAGAAATTGTACCAAAACATGAACTATGAACCTGACATAAAACGGTCGTGCATACACAAAAAATCACAAAATGGGTACCTAAAAATCCCCTGAATCAGCATAAAACGTAGAAATCAAACGAAACCCATTATCAAAAAACACGAACAGCATAGAAAGAAATCGGAAAGTAAAGAAAACCCAGATTAGAGATACGCGAAGCAAAGACGTACCTCAAAGAAAGAGCTTCTTCAAGGCCAAGACAAGCCATGAGGAGTGAGAGAGCAGAGAGAGAAAGCAGGGGAGGGAGGTCAATGTGAGAAGATCTGCGAGGTTAGCGGTGACATTGTTTCTTCTGGACCCAAATGTTTGTCTCTTTTCGTGCTAGAAAATAGCGTGATTATCCATAGAGGGAATCCCAAAACCCCACTCTCTCTACTTTAGGAAAATTTGCATTGTCTCTATTGAAAACTATACCATTCTCTCTCTCTCCTCTCTCTTTCTCTCTCTCTCTATCTTGCTGCGTAGAGGGTGCGTTGGAATCGCTGGTTTTGCACCGGAGGGGGGTTGCTGACAGGTGGAAGGAGTTACACACCGAATTCGACTCTCAGCCTTAAACCCTTCCACACACACACACAATGTAATAGTGTGTGTGTGTGTCTGTGTTTTGTATTTGAACGTTAATTTTACTGAAATCAAATTTGGGTCTAGCTATGTTCAATCTCAAGTTTGCCCCTTTCATTTATCTCTAATTACAACCTACAATATGAAGAATTTTATTCTCCATATCATATGCAACTTTAGTTTTTTTTTTTTTGTTATAATTAATTTTTTTCTTTAATTATGATATTATTTTTAAATATTTAGTTATGTCTCATTTATAGGTTATGACTTTTTTTTTAATAATGATTCAAAAAGTATGAAATTATTTTTTTTTTTTGTAATTATAAAGTGCATATGGGTGTGTACCATAATTTTTCCCTTACAATATTGCAAAAAATTTGAATTTAATGGCTCAATCTCGAGTCTCGCTTTGATAAAGATTTAATTCGATCACGTGATTACTAATATTCTTCTTAGATCTCAACTAATCATATAAGATGAACAATTCAAATTATTAAAATAAATCTCCAGATAAACTTGACAAGGCTCGATAATACTTGGATACCTAACTGAAGATAATTCATTTCTATTTAAATTTTTGCGTTGTGTTTTTTTTTTTTCGAATTTAGCCCTTCGCAACTAATGATGTTTCCAAATTCAAGTGTTACTATTTCTCCAAAATTTCCCACCTATTTTAGGATGAAAATTTTCATTTTTCTTTTTTTGTGGTGTTGACTTTTTTTTTTCCTTCTAATTATTCAAATATATAAGGGAATTTTACTTTTTATCTGACCTTTACGCATAGCGAAAATTTGATATTTCATTCCTTATAAATTATAGCGCTTATTGTCATTATTCAACAACTTTTTAACGGCTATAAGAAATATATTTATGAGCAGTATTTAACTATAAAAGATGTTTGGAAGCTCTAAATTGGGAGCATTAAAGGAGCTCTAGAGAGTGGGTCCCACTGACTGATGTGATGTTTTGGCCTTAAGTTTTTTTTTTATTTTCCACCTCATTAGTGGTCCATTAGTACTCCCAAATTAGTGGGATGTATCATTGTTGTTTAACTATACAACAGTTATTTTGTCATCATATGTTGTAGATATATGTTAAATTAAAAATTCGTTAGTAATTTTAATGAAGATTTGGTTTTCAATATTTATCTGAGCATGCAACACATTTATTGCCATCATGAAAAATATCATTCGATAGGCATATACATTATAATTGTGAATAAATTTAAAATTACAACTAAATAATATGTGAACAAGATTTTGTTAGTATCGCATTACTTACTCTCGTAGGGGCTTTTTGGTCTTTTTATTAGCACATTTTAGTGTGACACTAACAACAAGCGACATGGCCTTATTATTTCCCAATCATATAATAGATTTTGTAATTGAAATATGGATTTATTGTTAGAACAAAAAAAATAAAAAATAAAAAAAAATTCTCTTACTTGATGCAAAAAAATTTAGTTGATTGGGCCGTTAAAGTGAGAGGAGAAGAAAGGGCTACTCAATAAAATTAAAAATTAAGTGATAAAAGATAGTGTGACGTTGGAATATTAAAATATGAAGTCGAATTACAAAAATTAAGGGTAAATTATATTAATGGTTTTCAAAGTATAAGTTTTATTATACTTTACTCTCTAATATATATATATATATATGGTTTAATTACATCAATAGTCCTTTCAGTTTCCTTTAAGTTTTCTTTTTAATCCTTATGAAAAATGCTATAGGCTCTAAATTTTCTACCAAATAAATGACTAAATGTCTCATATGGGTGTGAGGTCCACAAAATTACAAATCCCACACCCATATGAGACACTTAATCATTTATTTAGTAGAAAATTTAGTATTTTTAACATTACCCAATCCTTATACTTGAAGCTCGTCAATTTGGTCCTTATACTTTTTATCTTGTTCTACTTTGATCCCTTTAACTTTACAATCTAGACCCTAATGTTTTAGTTATTATATTCTTACTTCTTAAGTTTTGTTATATTACAAAAATACCTTTTTATTTTATCACACAGTAATTTTTTATTTTTATGATGATGTTAATTCAAGAGGTTCCTTTAGCTTCCTCGGTAAGGATAAAAATAATTATTTGTGATTTTTTCTTGCTTATTTTCTAAAATAGCTAATTGTTTACTTTTATCTAATAGTAGATGTCGAACTTATAGTTGATTTTCTTTAAGATTTTTGTTAAGTTCTTTTTGTAACCTAATTATAATATTATTTTATTCAATTATTATTTGTTGTGCAGCACTATTATTTAAATTATTTGATTCAACCTTTTTAGTATATCTAATACTTATATAATTATATTGGTAAGGCTGAGAAATTAGGTTATGATACCAATTTTAAACACACAAAATTTTATAGTGGTTTTACAATTTATAGCTTTAGAATAATTAATAGAACTTTTGGGTTTATAGTTTATTTCTATATTTCTTTTAGAGACAAAATTGATTTGGAATTGAATATTGAGGAACTTAATTGGCACAATTAGAACTACAGGAACGAAAATGAAATAGGTGTCAAACTTGAGGGACTATGGCTATAATTCACCCCATATATATTGAGAACATATAAAGCAGTTATATAAAAATAAAAGCAAACAACATACAGATTAAGAAAAGAAAAGCAACAAGACCCCAAAGGAACAACTTAACAAAAACTATAAAGAACAAACAACAAAATACAAAGACGCAAAAAATACAGCAATCTAGGAAAAATCATTGATCGTTTCACAAATGTGGTTTGGAAAAGTAGGATCTGCCTCAAACCTACTGTCGCAGTTGACGTTGTCCTTGTTACCGCTGTCCAATTGTGCTACACTAGAAGTTAGAGTTGAAGAAAAAAAAACACTCACAATAGTATAAAAGAAGGATTGAAAGAAGAGGGAACTATTGTTGATGTCAAAAATCCAAAAATCTATGTCAAAATCATGGGAGAATTCTCAAGCTCCTTTTCCTAGGCATAAAAAATCTAGATCTACACCTTAAAATTGTTTGAAGAACTCGCCGGAGAAATATTGGAAAGTCGCCAAAGGGGCGCCGAAAATTGCCTAGAGAGAGGCTCCAAACGCCCCTCCTCTGGGTTTTTAGTCTCTAACATATTAATTGTTCCACTTTGGTCCTCAAAATATGCAATTTATTATACTTTAGTTTTAGAGTCAACATTGTTCAAATCAATAACAAGATGAGGAGTATTTTCAAAATTTTACATGAAATTTCAAAAAAATCAAATTGACCAAAGCACACATATGGTCTCAAAGTATTCATTTTATAGTATTTTAGTTCCTACATATTTTGTTTCATTTTAGTCTCCAAAAGATACACTTTCTAGCATTTTTTTCTCCATTCTTTTAATTTTGCTGCAGTTGCTTTTGTAAAATTTTAAAATTACCCCTCATGCTATAAATTATTTTGAATAGCGCTAATATTAAGGACTACAATGTAACAAATCGTATATTTTTTGGACTAATGTAAAACAATTAAAAAAATAGGGACTAAATTATAATAAAACTTATTCTTTAGAGACCATTTGTGTAATTAATCCAAAAATTAAAAATAAATTTACCCCTTTTTAAGTGAATTCCCAATTTCAACATTGAATTATTAATGGAGTTATTAACTATATATATATATTTCTTTTTGAAAGTAGTTATTAACTATACTTAAAGAGTAATAAAATTGTGTAACGTTTAAATTTGAGTAATGTTATTTACATTCACTATTAGTTAATAAATTTTGGGTTTGGCTTTTTTGAAATTGGCCATTTTAATTTGAAAGAAGTGTTTAGGTGTGGTACGTTCATTTTGTGATCGATTTCGGTAATTCGAACTATTCACTTTTTAAAACTTTTTGAAAAAAAATATTCATGCAAAAAATCAAGATGATCAAATATCGGTAACTATATATTTTAATGAAGTTTGTATTATAAAAAATGAATGGCTATTATGGGAGGCAGAAAATAAATTAACATAAGGCAGGACTAAAATTCCTAGGCTGGCAACAAGAAGGCAGCATCGCCAGTAAAGTGGAAAGTCAGCCCAGAATAGTTTGAGTATGGCCTGGCAGTCTAGGACCAGACTAGGCCAGAGAAGTTTTAAGACAAAAAAGAAGTGGAAGAAAGCACGCCCAAGAAGGGCGCAGACCCAATTAACCCACATCTCTTTATTTTAGGCTCAACCAACTCCTAGAAATCCGCACCTGGTGGAACACAATCCCTAAGGAAAGAGGGTTGACGTAAGAAGTTGAGGGAAACCTAACAACCAACAATGGTTAGTAGGAGTAAGCTATAAAAGAGGAAGCAATTAGTATAATAGAGGTATACAAACACTTCTACCTGAACCTCATTGAGATAATCCTGCACATTTATCTACCTTTGTCACTAACTTAGGCATTGGAGGGTTCCCAAGCTGCTCTAGCCACCCCCTTTACTTTTATCCAAGTGTTTTTCAGGTTAGGAATTGAGTTATCTCTACCGCGTCACTGTCGCAGCCTAAATGGTTTGATTTTTACCCCCCACAATTTGATGCCATCTGTGGAAATTTGGCACTTAAAAGCCTAGCTCCAATTGTTGAGATTGTAGATTATCCATGGCGGTGGAAGACGCCAACCCATTTATTGACAATAAACATGATGTGAACCTCTCCCCAAGCCAAAAAAGGCGCCATTTCAAAGTCAGAACGTCGTAGTAACGATGCAAACAAGAATAGAGAAATTCTTTAAGGGAGAAGGTTAGTGATTCCGGTTTTGACCCGACCCTTGTTATATCTTGGACTCGGGTTTGATGGTTTCACATTGTTGTTTATGGCTTGTTTCCCTTGTATCTCCTTAAGTTTGACTTTTGGGTTGTAGTGGTTGTGTTTAGAATAGGTTGGTTGCTTAGTTTTCAAACCTTTGTTGCCCAGAATTTTGCTTCTCCGCTCGAGCGACACTTCTTGCGCTCAAGCGGACTTTGTGAACTCTCAGTACTTTTGCAGGTCTGCAAAACTACTGGGAGGATGTATTCTATGC